TTTCTTCTTTAGAAAGGTTCAGTGCAGGTGGGAAAAAATGTCTGGAGGACTAAAGACTATAGGAAAAGAAATGGAAGGTGTAATTTTAATTTGCAATAATGCCTCTCCACTCTAATTTGAACCTCTATCCCAGTAAGGAGTGACTGAGTGTGTCTTCCAGATGAATATCTCTCCATACTCAGAACTGATGTCGCTTGTCCACACGTTTCACCAGACATATGGACATCCTTATGACAGCTGTTTCCTGTATTTCTGAATTAATATATGTAAAGCACTTGGAAAAGTGCCCAGCAAATAACATGTGCCATGGAAAGGTTAGGGTTGTTGTTGTTATTATTATTATTTGTTCAACCTCATCTCCACAGACATGTATAAGTTCCTGGTAATGAAGATTTCATCATCTTTCTTATTCTTAAAAAATTTTGTTACCGTGATTAGGACCTTGGAAAAGCCGGTTGGACCACATAAAGATCGTGTGTAAAAGTTCCACCTCAGTCCACAACCCCAATTTGGCACCCACTGTTTACAAGCTGCTGTGCTTCCTACGCCCTTTTAATAGACAAATTATCAAAATGAAAAGGTAGTCAAAACCCACATAAGAGTGAGGCCTGAGAAGCAGTGATAGCCACCGTCCAGCATAGGAAAGGGGCGATTCCCGCCACCCCCAGAATACTCGCAGCGACGCTTGCCGCTCTCCCACACCCCTGTGTCCCCACGCTGCGCAGTGGGGCAGGATACGGGTTCAGCGTCCGAATCCCGGATCCGGGGTGCAGCCGGGATGCGAGGCTTCGGCGCCAGGGCGCGGGGAGTGGGTCCAGGCGGCGTGGGGCGCATCCCACCGCCCCGGCTCTCGGCCGCCCAATCAGGGCGCGGCTTGGGCGCGCGCTGCGGCCAATCAGAAAGGGCGGGAGCGGCGCCAGGAATCGCGAGCCAGCAACGGCGCTGCGATCCGGAGCGAGCTCGGCGAGAGCAGTGCGGCCGGGAGGGGATCCCCGGGCCAGCCTAGCCGGCTCTGCCGCGGCGACCTTCCGACCCATACTCGGGACCCTGCGGGCGGCGTCACCGTAACCGCTCCCGCGCCCCGCAGAGGGCGGGCGAGCGGGCGTGCGGGCGAGAGAGGAGCCCCGCAGGTGGAGCGGGCAGGGGGCGGGCCGGCCGCGAGGTCCTAGCGCCGCGGGCACTGCCCGAGCCCCTCGCACCCGGTGCCTGCTTCGGGCCGGAGTCCCAGGGAGGCGCGACATTTCCACATGCTGCGGGCGTCCAGGAGTGGGAGGAAGGAAGGTGAGTTGGTCAGAGGAGGACGGGGGTGTGGGAGAAAGACACCTGCGACCCCTGCATTCCTACTCAGACACTATTGGCCAACGCGTCTTCCCCAGTATCTGGGTCCCTGGGACGTTTTCGTTGTCCTGAGTCTGGAGGCGACAACAAGTGTCCCTGGGGACGGTGCTTGCCAGCCCCCCCACCCCGAAATCCTGGCTTTGGCGTTCCTCCCCACCTTCGGGGTGTCCATAGGCAGGACCCCAGCCAGGACTCTCAGGCGCGCTGCCCGCTGGACAGCGCCCAGAGGCCTCCTGGACCCGGCGGACCCCGGGTTTGGATGGAGTTTCCTCCGCGCGTTGCCAAGCAATTACCCGGACACCCGCCTCTGGCTGGGAGGAGGAGTTGAAGATGAGAGTGTTTATGAGTGAGTGAGTACAGTGTGTGTGTGAGTGTGTGTGATGAAGAGTTGAAGATGAGAGTGTGTTTATGAGTGAGTAGTGTGTGTGTGTGTGTGTGTGTGTGTGTGTGTGTGTGTGTGTGCCCTTATTGAAAGAAGCTGCCTGCGGGCTGAGTGAATCATTAACTGTGGTTTTGGGCAGCTACTGGCCCCTGCCTGCCTCTTTTTCCTTCTCCTAGGCAGGTCCTTCATGCTCACTCTCCTAATCTGTAAAGTGGCAATAATGATTGCACCCACCTGATGGCATTTGTTTTGAGGATTAAATGAGGCAATTCCTGAAAAACACTGGGCACTGCGCTTAAGTACTCAATTATTGCTGGCTCTTATTATTTCCTATACGGAGTGGATGGTCTTTTAAAGAGTAAATCAGAGGTGTCTAAACTGGCCCAGCGACCGTCTGGAGCTCTGAATAGCTTCCTACACTTGAAGGGGAAACATGCTATTAATGTTACTGATGGTATCATTGAAAGGTAATGTATCCCTTGATACAGCTCCATTGGAATGGTGAGAGTTAAATAGATTCCAACTAGTGTCTTAGTAAACCCTTGTAACCCTTGAAAAAACTGGTATGAATGTTGTGTGAAGAGAATGTCGTGGTACTTTGCTGAATGCTCGTCTTTCATTAGTATGATGGATTTGGGGAGCGGGTGGATTTGAAGGTTCTTATACTTTCTACTCTTCCCTTAAACAAACAAGTAAGGAGAGACAGAGAGAGAACAAAGCCTAACCACACGACAAAATTCCAGCAGCTTCTGGAAATCTAAATTGCAGTTGCCACTTTGCCACTGCAGGTAGTTTTTCACATATCTGACCTGGGTGGTCTGGTTCAGTTCTTGGCCACTGTGTCACTTTCCTTTTCTTGTTTAATCTGGGGAGTCAAGTACACATTTGGCACCATTCATTTTTCTTTTTAAAACCTGACATATCAACATGTAGCAGACTCTTTTGGAATTATGAAACCTGTTCTACCTAACTTCCCACTGTGTGGCAAACCCAGAGGACCTTCCTTCCCAAAGGTTCCTAGGGTGATGTAAGTGGGAATCTTCTTGTCTTATCACACCATGCGAGGCCCACAGCTTGGGATCTGGGAGAGGCACAGACAAAATGCCCCAGTTCTCCAAAGATCTCCGGGGCCTTTCCCAGAAATCTTAAGAATAAATACATCCACTCAGAGAACGTGATTATCTTCTCAGGGGGTAAGAAGCCCACTTCCAGATGCAGATCTTTCAAGTGTCAAATTAATTCAACAGCTCTTTCAGTTGATAAGGAGACTTTTACTCTCTCTACAAGAGTGGGAGGATCTGAAAGCCTGCTGCTGGAGGAGCGAGGGAGGGATGGGGGGCAGGGGAAAGACTGCTTAGTCCGGAGTCAGTTCTGCACCTGCTGAGAACTCTGTCTCTTTGGCTGATGTCTGGGAAACCTGGACAGGTTTGCTTTTCTTAGCCAAAGTCTCCCATTCTGTAAAATGAGGACTCATTTTGTTTGTTTGTTTGTTTGTTTTGTTTTTGGTAGAAGTTGTTCTAATGAATGGAAAACCCCTAGCATAGTTTCAGGGACATAGTTACAGGTCTGTAGCATCCAGAGGAGGTCTCAAAGGTAGGAGTGATCATTTATACCTGGGAAAGAAAAAAAGAGTTGATTGAGGGGATAACACCTTCACTGAATGTATTATGATGAACCAATCTCTTGTGAAGACAGAAGGAAGGGTAGAGCAAGGAGAGAAGACATTCCAGACAGAGAATGTAGGATATTGAAAATACTCTTAATAGTCAGTTTAGGCTGAATAACAACCTCCAGATTTCAGGGGCCTACAACAGTCAAGGTTCATTTCTCACTTTTGCTGCATGTCGAGTGTAGGTCAGTTGTGGTTCTGCTTCTGATCTGTTTTCATTCTGGGACCCCCTGAGGCTTAAAAAACAGCTTCTTTCTGGGTCAATACTGATTTCACTTATGAGAAAAGGAAAAAGGAAAACATGACAGAACAAATATGGCACTTCATGTCTGTTGGGAAGAAGCAGATGTCACTTCAGCTCTTATGCTATTGGCCAAAGGCAGCCACATGCCTGAACCTGATGTCAGTGGCATGGGAAAGTCTAAACCTCCCGCAGACAGTGAGGTGTGGCCAAGTCGGAGGGAAAGTGCAGAAGGAAATATAGCCCTGGGAAGTGGCCCAGAGGCAGATGATGAAAGGCCTGGGTCAGAGCCAGGGTGTTGAGACTGCATCCTATGTGCAGGGAGAAGCCACTGAAGGGTTTTAAGTTAGAGTTTGACATCCGATTTTAAGGCCGAGCATACATCTCTAGTGGCAATGTGTGAAGATTGAAATGGATGGGACTAACAGCAAAAGATGATGAGGGCCTGAACCAATACAGCAGCCTCAGATCGCTCTCACTGCCTGTCATGTGATGAGGTTCCACTGCTAGAACACGATTCAGTTGGCACTTGAGTGACTTGTCTTGTTTATGAGTCCTCTCCTAAAATGCACATGTTCTCTCATCTTAGAGTCATTATTTTATACTATCATGTAAAGCGGCAGCTCTTAAACTTCAGTACACTTCAGAATCACCAGGATGTCAGGGCCTCACCCTCAGAGTTCCTGAGTCAGCAGGTCCGGAGTGGGCCTGGGAGTGAGCATTTCTGGGAAGTGCTCAGGCAGTGCTGATACTGCTGATCCCAAGGCCACACTTTGAGGACCACAGAACTAAAAGGATAAATTGAGACACGGTGGAGGGAAAGACCTGAAAAGAAGGGGCTAGTGGAAGGGAAACAGTCTGGAAGGTCCCAGCATTCTCCATGTGGCACCTTTGTTGAGGGCTGACTCCGCCAGAGCAGTGGAGTCCGTAAGAGTGGGGTCTCCAGGTGCACATTAAATCGCAAATGCAATTCTCATAGCGAGGAAATGAAAAAAGTCGGATGTCACCGACTTTGAGTCCAAGAAGAGGACAGGTGCTGCTTTTATCCCCACCTGTGTCATCCTGCCCTGACCCCCGCTGCAGTCAGTGAGCACACCCCCTTTTACCTGGCTCCCAACCTCTCACTCAAGGCTGTCAGTGTATTCCAACCCTGACCCGTCGCACTCCTTGTCATCCTTGTTTTAATTTCTGGAGCCGGGTTAGCCCACTGGGTGGACATTTGGCTGCATTTTAAGAAAGCCAGACCAAGAAATTTCTCACTTCACTTGAGGTCACCTTCATGAATAAACATCTGCACCACGTGATCATGCAAATTGTAATCAACCCCCCTGTGTGAGAAACCAAAATCATCCCTGGCTTGGTTTGTACCAATGGGTGGAGCAAGCTGCAACAATTCTCCTAACTGTGACTCACCACTTCTGTAATGAGAGAGCATTCCAAGAATGGACGTTAAGGAGAAAATATGTTGGTGTGTATCGCCAGAGGTGGGTGAGAAAACCTGGAACCATAACCGCTGTCCAGGAGGCCTGGGGCCAACTCCATTGACCAGATCTGCCTGTTTTTCTCAGGTAATTTTACATGATGTTTCCCCACCTCCTGAAGGTTTGGCTTTTGTGGTATCTTCTCTTGGTCGGTTCTGCAGTGAACTACTATGGTTTCCTCACTCTCAGATCTCCAAGAAACTGGGTCTAAAGTTTCAACAGGTGCAGCAGAAAAAACCCAAAACCACAGTGAGAGCCAGTGAGGGAAAGAACTGACACTATCCAGGAGGGACTTAAAATGCTGAACATGTTCATTAGAAAGTGTTACAATTTCTATTGGGTAGCATTTATCCAGGAAATTGATGTGTAAGAAATATACATATCAAATCACCAGATAAGTAGTATCCTCTCTGTATGTTTATATTGAATAGATGTTAATTTTTTTTTCCATCTCTTACAATTTCAGGAGGAAGGTTTCTAGTGCAATTACTGCCTTTCTGAAATGTGACCACTTAGAAACAGTTGGCCAGAATTGTAGACAGATAACAGAAGGGCGGGATTGAAAACTCAAAGTCCCTTGAATGTTTTGTTCACTGTGTATACCTCTGTAACTCCACCTGACTCTACAGTAACCTGGACTTGTGCTCTCAGGTGGCCTCACTAACAGGCAAGAGGTGGTCATTGTTCTTTGTGATATGTAGTCACCATGAAGAGTGTGAAGATACTTTACAGGTTGTTAATGGCCCAGTAAAATCTTTGGAAGGTGGCGTCATGCAAAGAGCCTTGAGCACCCTCTGTGTACAAGGCTCTGAGGAGGATGTGGTGAGGAATTCAGAGAAGTATTCTGCGTAGTCTTCTGATACAGCCTTGAATCTGAGAGAGAAAGGGTGTACAATATTTATGCAAAATTAGGAACAGGTAAATAACAGTGTGGCCAACAGTAGGCAAATAATCAAAGGGTACACCACTATGCTGTGAATTCAGAGACAGGGATTCTTTTGTAGGTTGTGCTAGGCTGGGAAGGTTCATGGAGGTGCAGTCACACTGGATTGGAGGTCAAAGTAAGATTTAGGTGGAGCAAAGGGTTTTAGGGAATGAACGTACATTTACTGTGTCTCTGATGGTCAGCACAGACTTGTTCCAGGTCTGTGACGAGACATCTGGAGTGAGGGGATCACGTAGGAGGGGAGAAGAGAAGTCTGAGCTTCTTAAAGTCTTCCTATCTCAACGGTCATCTGACCATCTAATTGGAATATTCTGCCTGCTGGCATTCATCCTGACCAGTGAAACCACTGGGTGATTCATGAGCAGATGAGTAACACTGGACTCTAAGTCGACCTTCTTCACATGTTCCTTTTATTAATAGGAACACACTTTGGAGCTAAGGATGTCAGAGCTCTTTATAAATAAAATCTAATCCCATCATAAACTCTGTCAATCTGGCAGGCAGTAGTAGGTCTCTTTCTACTTGTAAAATGACCTGGGAAGGACAAGTGATTTGTTTCGAGTTGTGCAGGAGTCCCCCGGCTCTTCTGGGCTCACTGGTCCCACCTCTCCGACACTGGGTGGGGTCCAGCTTAAGTTGCTCCACAAAGGGGAGGTGGTGCTGAGAATTGGGGCCCCTGAATTCTAGTTTGGATTTTCTCCCTCTACATTATACCCCATGGAGGCCCTCCACTCTAACTCCAAAAGGTCCGCGTTACTTTTAATTTGCGGGTGAGATAATTATACCTTTCCCTTTCAGGCTTAACTCTGGCTCCCCTTGAAAGAAGGTACCATTTTAGTGCTGTGGGTCTGTACAAACACACCGTCTAAATGAAATGGCATTGTCAGCAATTTTCATGCCAAATGCCAACTAATGAAGCAGGGCTATCGGTGGCTTTCAATCTGCCTGAACTTGGAAGGGAGACTCTAGACCTTACCAGCTTGATAGAATCACTCCATTGGTTGCCTTCCTTTTCAAGTTAGCTAATTACTTAAAAATTAAAAAAAAAAAGTGGCATGAAAACATTTTATTTCTCTGCTTTAGAAACTGAATATATTTGCCTGACTTAAGCTTTTGAAAGAGAACAATTGGAATGTCATGGTTAAGTGGATAAAGCTGGGGTGGTCCATACATGGTGAGCTTATTGAATGATGCATTGTTTAAGTGTTGTCCATTGTGTCAACCCACAGCCGGCAACAGTCCAGTTTTACTTGTGTATTTTCTGCTCTTGCCAAACATAAAGTATTAATTTTTTCTACATCATTCCTTGTCCCTACATTTCTCTTGACTTTCAACTCTGAACAGTTGAAGGGTGTGAAAATTTTTATTACTGAAACGATCACAGTCACTGTTAACAGCTGTTGTCCATCCACTTTTACCATGTTCCAGGCCCTCTGCTAGTCTAATGACTACATTACCTCCCTTGATTTCTACCTCAACTCTGTAAGGTCAGGAAGAGTAACCTCTCACTTTACAAAGGAGACAACCAGCTGGACTTAAGTAATTTGCCAAAGTTTGCAGTAGACCTGGGCCTTGACCCCCTCTTCCAATCTCTCAGCTCTGGCAGCTGTGCCCCTGGCACCCCTGTGTCGCCTGCCGAAGAAAAGGGCTCTGAAGACCTAGCGGGCTCTCTGTTGGCTCGGGCCACCCCCCACAGAGGTCCTGGTGGAGGGAAAACTGTCCTTGTGTTTGCTGTCAGTTCACACCATCAGCAGGACTGTGGAAGCACACTTCCTTCTCTCCCTTGCCCTGTCTCTTCCTCCTTGATATTTGTGTTATAAAGTGTCACCTAGAAAGGTGGTGAGTTGGAGAGGGGATCTGTTTGAGTAAACTCAGCGTATCTCAGTCACTCACCATCAGCCTAAGTGGCACTCGGGGGCTGTACTCTGCAGCTGTGCCATCCGTCACACTCCAGGGCCCCAGACCTCGTGTGCTCGGCTGCTGGTTGGTGTTCATCCCCGATCCCCAAGTGGGCCCTGGGGAGGCAGTTCCAAGCAATCAGAGTCACTTGCTGTCACATTTTAGACTTGGCTGGTCACAGCACAGTGCTCACAGGGCCAGGGGCTTTGATCACCCGTCATCTGGCTACCCCTTTCCTGTGAAGAAGACAGAGAATGTGCATCCAATCCCAGCCGGGTGCTTGGCAGAGAGGGTCCTGGCCATGAGACAGGAAGATAAGACTGTAAGTCTGTGTGTTCTCTTGTGGGGGGAAAGTATTTCTCGTGGCTGGAGCATGCCAGAGTGGTTAAGAGCACAGACTCGGGAGCCAGACTGTCTGGGTTGGAATTATGGGATCTTGGGCATTATTTAACCTCCCTGTGCCTCAGTCTCTTTACCTGAATAAATGGGATAATAATAGTACCTACTTCACAGAGATCTTATGAGGTCACATGAGGTATTTAATTAAATGAGTTGTAAAGCACTATGAGATCAATGTCTAGGAGACAGATGTGTTGCATAGTGTTTATCAAATAGTACATAAAAATAACGTGGTGGGTGAACATTGTCTGCAGGTAGACAGTGTTAAGCTAGATGAAGCTCACCTAATTACTTCAGTAAAGGTACTTATGATGACTTCCACGCAGCTGCAATCTTATTAACTCTACTATGGGAATTTGACTTTTTATTTTTCCTTTCTAATTATAGTCAACATTCCATATTGTATTTATTTCAGGTGTACAGCATAATGGTTAAACATTCAAATAAGTTACAAAGTGACCTCCCCACCACCACCATACGTCTAATACCACCTGGCACCATACATAGTTGTTACAATAGTAGAGAATTTGCCCTTTTAAAGAATCATATAAGAAATACATTTGTAAACCGCCTTTTTGTAAAATGGATGTGAGAGAAACCGTTATGAGGGAGAGGGAAGTCCAGGATGACTTGATATTTTTGACCAGGGCTACTGGGAAGATAGAGTTGCCGTCATGTTGGGTGGAGAGGGCTTCTGGTGGGGTAGCCTTGGGGGAGGAAGAGGAGCAGTTCCAGTTGGCATGTGTTACATAGGAGAGGTGGCAGCGAAGGTGCTCACTGGGCAACCACTAGGCAGGTGACACCCTGGGCTAGAGACACCCTTGTGGGGACTCTGTCTATAGACGGGGTCTCCAGCCGGGGAGGATGAAAGTAGAGAGAGAAGGGGAGGATGAAAGTAGAGGGAGAAGAGGAGGATGAAAGTAGAGGGGGAAGGGAGGATGAAAGTAGAGGGAGAAGGGAGGATGAAAGTAGAGGGAGAAGGGGAGGATGAAAGTAGAGGGAGAAGGGGAGGATGAAAGTAGAGGGAGAAGGGAGGATGAAAGTAGAGGGAGAAGGGAGGATGAAAGTAGAGGGAGAAGGGGAGGATGAACATAGAGGGAGAAGGGGAGGAGAGCTGGGGTGGACGCAGGGCTCATCCCAGCTCCAGGGGGAGGTCACGCCAGCTGGAGTTCGTTCTCTCTCTCCCTGCTGGTGTGGAATGAAGTGGGGGTCTGTTGGCACTGCCCTTTGGGTGGTTTATCATTTGAGCTCCATAATGTTTAGTCTTCAGTCAAGAGACTACAGTCAGATACCCCTTGACCTCTTCCTAGCTCTTGTGACCTTGGGTCAGCTACTTACTCTCTGAGACTCCGTTTCCGTGTCTTGAGACGGGAGCTGGTAGCAGAAATGCCTGTTTCCGAGGTTGGAGGGCTCAGCGAGAGCAGCTGTGTTAAGGACAGGACACTGTCCTCGTTTTATCACGGGCAGGTTCTCAGGGCTCGTGCCTGTGTGTGGGGGGCCGTGACAGCTCACACATTTTCAAGCTCTGTGAATTTTCCCTGAACTGGAAACCACATTTTAATTCAGCCCGTCCTGCTACTATTTTCCTTTTTTTTTTTTTTTATTAAAAATAAACGACAGAGGTCAAGGAGAGACTGTAATAAATTCCACACACATATGCCAGCCACTAACACTTCCTCTGTAATTGAAACATGACATCCAGGGATCAAGTCTGGCCTGTGTATGTGGCAATTGGAACATGAATCACAGACGCACAAGCATTCTGAGCCCTGAAAGCTGAAATGCAGACACAGTGGTACCCCTGGCGATGACTGTGTTTCCATAGTACATACACCACGATGAGCCAGGTAAGAAGGGTCTCACTCTTTTCTAACATAACTGATCCTCCCCCACAGCTTTGAATCCAAGTTTTACACTTGGTTGGAAAATGCACCCAAGACAGTTGGTTTCACTCAGCAAATAATATGCTTCTGAATCTATTTTTTTTGTTGTTGTTGTTGTTTTTTTTTTAAAGTCTCTCTGTCAAAGCTAAAGAAGAATCCAGAGATGTGGAGACTCCAATTCTGAAGTCTTGTGTCTCAATTCCCTAATTCGTGTGTCTGCCGTGTTTGCATTTATGGTTTATGTGCTTTGAATTTGTGGCTTTTCTGTTTTGCAAGAGTTACTGTCAAAGAGACAGCTAGCAAAAGAAACACTACTATTAGTGGCCGCGGGGCCAAATATACGTAACGATGTGGTTGGCTTCTCAATCCCGACTCGAATTTTTGAGAAGCCTTCTCCAGATGGAGGTGGGAGGTGTGAGGTCTGCAAGAAAACATTAGAAATACCCGAGCAGACAAATGAACGCGAGAGAGCTTCCAGTGATTTTCTCTCTGCTCTTTCGGGTTGAGGAAGTAAAGAGAATGGGCATACACTGTGGGAAATTTCCATCAACTGGGAAAAAACAATACAACAAATATTCTGCAGCCTGCTGAGAGCCCAGGGAGTCCCAAGGTCAGAGGATCCTGCCCCATTTGTCTGTGGTGACAGCCTCCCCACCCCCAAAGGAACGCCTCACCCTTAAACAATGGAAGTGTCCCTGGGAAGCTGAAAAGGTACATGCAGAGGGAATTTTTAGAAATCATATCGTTTCAAAAGTACACCAGTGGTTTCCGAATTTTCCTTAGTAAGAGTGTGTGCCTTTTGCAATTCAAATATATAATGTAAATACTATTAGAAAAAGCAATTAAAAAGAAGGAGATACACTTGGCGTGTGGAGATGGGTGAATTGTCGTCATTTTTTTTTTTTTAATAATGTGAGGATTATTTTGTCCTACAAGTCGTCACACTTCCTAACATAGTGCTCTCTAGATTCACGATCTATAAAGAAGTACCCGCCCTGGCCAGTTTGGCTCAGCAGTTAGAGCGTCCGCCTGCCGTCCAGAGAGACCCGGTTCGGTTCCCGCTAAGGGCATGTACCTCGGTTGCAGTTTGTCCCCGGCCCTGGTTGGTCGTGTGGGTGGCAGCCACTCGATGTGTCCCTTTCACATCGATGTTTCTCTCTCTCTCTCTTCCTCTCTCTCCCTCCCACTCTGTCTGTACAAAAAATGGGAAAATGTCCTCGGATGAGGATTAAAAAAAAAAAAGAAGTACCCAGTGTCCCAGTGCCCGTCACCCATCAGCACCCAGGACCCTCCTCCACAAAGGCAGAGGCAGCCGCAGTCAGCACACACTTGGTCGGCTCTCTTGCTGTGCCAAGCCCACCCAGTGTGTCCCGGCTCCTGGCTGCTGTCCCTGGCAGTTGGAGACACCCACGTGCCCTGCTTTCGGTCAGCAGACGCGGACTTGGGATGTTTCTTATTTGCGAGGGGCCTGCTTCCTGAGGATAATGCCCAGATCAGCTGGGTCCAGCTACAGCTGCAGCCCACTGTGGTGGTCTAGTGTCTGGCTGGGTTGTTTTGGTTTTATGCTTGTGTATCTGTTTTGCTGGGGGAGTGGGGGAGGGATTCTGAGAAAAGGGAAGGAGATATCCTCTGCAGTACTGAAAACGGAAATCAGGAATTATCAGTTCAGGGTCACTAGAAGCCACAGCGTCTGGCTTCCTGCTGCTCCGCTCCTCCGGGATGATTCTGTTTTGTTTTGAAACCTCTGAAAGTGACAGGAGTTAGATAAATTGTTCTAGGGTGGAGGTCTTTACAGGGAGTCCAGAGATCCCCAGGGGATTCACGAAGCGCCTTTGGGAAAGGCATCCGTGAAGCACCTGAGATTATTATAAGTCATGTGTCCTGTGTGTGTGTTTTTCCAGAGACGAGTCTCTGGCTTAAACTGTATGTCACAGAGATCCAGAGATCCCTACCCTTTAAAATAAGATCCAGAACCAGTTCTAGGGGGAGGGGTTCAGATGTGAGTTGTGCCTCTTGCTTTGGCCCTACCTAGAAAACTCTTCCTCACGGATGGCATGTGTGCAGTGGACATATCCGTGTGAATGTGTGGAACATCTAGGGGAACCCACGGAAGCCCACACTGCAGAAAGATAAAGAAGGTTTCACTTCTTCAAGAGCCGGAAACCCAGAAAAGCAGAACCCCTACACTTTTGTCTAAGGCTTCCTGTCCTTTCTCTCGGTCGTCCTTGAGCCCGAGCAGAGCGCCTGGAACTCTGTGTCTCCTGCAGCTCGCTGTTGAACTGATCACTGATATCTCTTTTACCCGGCCTTCCTCTGACTTCCCTGCAGTAGAAGGTTGCATGGGCCCAGGCCTCCGTGATGATGACAGGAAAAGGCATTTCTTCTGAACTTCCAAGTGTCTGTCTGCCCTGTGCCCGACACGTTAATGTCGACCTTCCCACACCCGGTTCTTTCTCCTCGTATCGTACATTCTCTCTGGGTAACCTAGTCCAAACTCAAGGCTGCTGATAACCCATCAATCTGTATTAGCAACACTCGTCTCTCGTCTTCTGAGCTCTTCACCTGGCTGTCTAACGGGCCTCAGTAGACATCTCCCACAGGCCCATCGATCCTCGGTCTAAAACCAAACTCATCCTACTCCTGCCACACCTCATCCATTCTCCCCACCGAAGTTCTTATCCTGGTGAATGGCATTAAAATCTATCCAGATTTAACCCGGCCAGTTTGGCTCAGCAGTTAGAGTGTTGGCCCTTGGACTGAAGGGTTGAGGGTTCAATTCCCAGTCAGGGACACGTACCTGGGTTGCAGGTTCGATCCCGGGCCCTGGTCGGGGTTGTTCGGGAGGCTGCCAGTCGACGTGTCTTTCTCACACTGATGTTTCTCTCTTCCCCTTCCCTGCCTCCCTCCCTATCTGAAAAATCAATGGAAAAATATCCTCAGGGGAGGATCATCAACAGCAGCAACAAAAAATCCAGTTTTCCAAGGATCTTTTTCACCCACCCACCACACCAGTACGCCTTCATCTAAACGAGCCCCAAGTAGACTTTATCCCCATTCTTGATGATCTTGCATCTTAGATGGCCCACACAAACCCCCCTTACCCCTCAAGTTGTGATGCCTGAACACTATATTCACTAGCTGGTCTTCCCACTTCCCAGCCCCCTTCTTCATTGCTCCCAGATGGATATTTCTAAAATGTATGTTATTTCCTCATCTAAAATTGTTTAATTGATCTCCTTAATGCAGTCTTTATGACAAAAGTCAGCCTTCATGGCATAGCCTACAAGGTCCTGTCTGACCTGACTCCTGACCTTCCCAGCTCCTGTCTTACTGCTGTCCTCCTGGCTCATTGTTTCAGTCACACTGCATTATCCATAGTTCAGAAGGCGTGAGGTGCTTCCCTTCTTCTCCCAGTCTTTGTGTGAACATACTACATTCTGTTACAGCTGTTTTGCGTGGGGACTTGATAAGAAACTATTACACTGCAAACTTCTTGGTCATGTATAAAACACACCCTCCTTCCAGCACCACATCATCCCATGTCTTCTCCTCCTCCGTTCTTTTTTGTTAATCCTCACCCGAGGACTTTTTTTTTTTTTTTTTGCCTTTATCTTCAGATAGAGCGGGAGAGAGAGAGGGGGAAAGAGAGAGAGAGAAACATTGATGTGAGAGAGACACATTGAGTGGTTGCCACCAACATGACTCCAACAGGGGCCAGGGACAAACTGCAACCGAGGTATGTGCCCTTAGCGGGAACCGAACCCGAGACTCTCGAGTCCACAGGTAGACGCTCTAACTGCTGAGCCATGGCTCAGCAGGGCTCCTCCTCTATTCTTAACACTAACTCTATATCTAGGCCCTCCGTGAATCAACCTCATTTCTTAGCCCCATCTCCTCACATGGGCCTTCCTCTCATCTCTGGATCCCTCCCTATCTCTGATACATACTGCAGGGGCTGGGGTCTGTGATGGGTGATGTTCAGAAATTGGGTTAAGTGGCGAGAGGTCTGGGGATGGATGTAAGAGTCAGAGATGTCTGTTGCACACACTGTCTGGTAAAAAAAAAACCATGGTTTTGCATGTTAACACAACTGTTTAAACATGGCTAAGTAAAATGACACCCTCTAATTGATCCTATTGTGTTGTCCTGTTTTGTTCTTATAGATGTCATACTGCCAACTTACAATGTCTTTTTTCCCTGTTCCCAACTAATTTCTGTCCATCGGCTCCTGCCCCTGCCCAGGTATCACCTTCACTGACCCCAGGATCGCACTAGGTGTCACTCCTCCGTGTGCTAATAGCACTGCTGGGTTTTCCTGGGGTGGCCCCGATTGCAGTATATTGTGATCCCTCATCTCGCTCTCCAAGGCAGGGTTTGGGTCTTCATCCTCGAATTTCACTAGAATATGCCTAGAGATAGGAGACGTTCAATAAATGCTTTTCTGGAAGTAGTGTCTATTGCTAGATATTTTATTTTGTTGGAGAACATGTGAAAACCACATAGGGCTTGAGACAAGTTAAGTCTATTTCCCCTCTTTTAGGTATTTTCAACATTTTTGCAAATAAGTGTGTCTGTCAATCCCAAATTAATAAATTTGCGAACACAAAAGCAAAAGGCGGTGCACTTTTGCTGTGGTCATTCGGAGACTTTGTGGCAGGAAACAGCCTCCTGCCCTCCTCTGAGGTGAGTTTCAGTTTGTACCAGGTAACTCGAAAAGTCCTTCCTCCCTGGAAGCTTGTCGTCAGGATTAACGCTGTGTACACTGGTTAGTTTTTGCCTTCCTTTTCAAACTGCTTCTTATTAACTCCTTGCAATCGGGTTTCCAGTGTAGCTGCTTTAGTCTGTTCCATGAATGCTTGTTGCGTTCCTTCCGTGGAGCTGACCCTGACCTTGAGAAAGGGCGTGGACGTCCCTCAAGGAGCTGACGCTCCAGCTAACGTTCTTCAGGGTCAGCACTGACCATC